TTAGCTTTGGGGTTACTAGGAAGAAAAAAGTTACAGGGAAGGTTAATGTTGGAATTTAAATAAGGGATATGGTTGAAGGGAGGGTTGGTATTAGAGTTACAGGGAAGGTGGTGGTGGGGTTACAGGATGGGTTAGTGTTAGGGTTTACAATAAGGGTTAGTGTTAGGGTTACAGGAAGGGTTAGGGTTACAGGGAAGGTTACTGTTGGGGTTGCAGTGAGGGTTACGGTTATAGGAAGGGATTTTTTTTTTAAGGAGAATTAGAGCCCATTCACACAATAAAACTTTAATGTATGTGATGCAACACAATTTATTGTGTGTTGTGGTGCACTACATTACTATTAGTTCCTCTCTCTTATATCATTTTTCCTAATAGGGATAAGCGAAATCGAGATTTATCATTTTCCCAAAATTTTGGCAAAAAGCAATCATGTCAATGAGGAAATTCATTTTGTTTTGGTGATTTTAAATGGTGCAATTGGCTTTAAAGGCTAAGTTTACCTGTTGGACCATGTTTCATGTTACACCCATGTTTAAGGTGTAACATGAAACATGGTCACATCATCACCCCTCTAATCCTATCCCACCTCCCTCCCTACTTACCTGAATTGCAGGGTTTTTCCCACTGCAGGTTGATGCTCTTATTTAAATTCAGCTCAACTGTGTGTGGCTCCAACCACACAGCTATTGCATCCATTCATCCTTTGACATCCATTCATCCTTTGACAGGATCTGTGAATAGAGAAACTCCAAAAGAGAAAAGTCCAATCAAACTCCGCGGCAGAGGGACTTGTAGTTCTTAGTGGAACACAAGTGCAGATATGTCTCTTGTAGTCCATTCATTCTTCCTCCCATTCATGTTACTGAATATTTGTACCGAGGTACGGACATGGACCAAAGCAGTGGCGTATCCAGGGCGTGGCACATATGGCACATGCCCTGGGCACCACTGGAAGGGGAGGCACCACAGAAAGTTCACCGACCCCCCTGAGCCAGCTGACTTTGTTCCGCTCTGGCAGGCATCCCACGAAGCTCCTGGCAACCAGTGATGTCAATGGTTGCCAGGAGCTGGGTGGGACGCCATAGGCACATTTAATAGCAGATACACCTCTGGACAGGAGGGAGAGTCTGCAGGAGTCAGAGCATTGGACCCATGATCTACTCATCCTGGCTCCAATGCAAAACAATGATAAATGCTTATTTTTTTCTTTTATTAATATTGTGCATTTATTTTATTTTTTTCACAAAAGTGGACTGTACCTTTAAACTGCATGTAACTCTTATTTGAACTTCTCTTGTTTGCTCCCTTTTGCACTGTTAAACATACCACTGAAAGCATTTGGTTTTATCTGTTCGATAAGTGTAAAATAGCTGCAATATATTACATGTTTGTTCTTGGGCTTGTTACACTTTAAATGGCCCCTAGGGGATTCTAAAGCCCATTTCATCTATGCTTGGCCGCTTCTCGTTCCAATAAAATGGTGGCTCATCCTTCTTATTTTACATTTACATCTGAGAAGGAAAAAAAATCAAACGGTGCAAAAGAAAATGGAAATTAAACATTTAAAGTGACAGTACACAAGTAGCACTTACTGCACACAATGAACAAAAATTGAGAGTTTCCACTTCTAAAGGCCAAGGCTATTAAGGCGATTTTCTTTTAAAGAAGAACTCCAGAAAAAAAAAATCTGATTAACCCTTAAGTGGTGCTACCCCAGTACTGCAAAGGTTAACTGTTACTTTTTGTCTAGGTTTAAAAAAAAAAGTTATACTCACCCGATTCTCCGAGCTGGCTTGTTCTTAGACTGGTACCTGGAGCCTCTACCCCCCTCCGCTGCAGTGGTCTAAGGTCCCGTAAATAATCCCATCCTATATAAAGTGTATAGACGTGAGGTTGCTGAGGAAAATCCCAATACTGCAGCAGATGAGGAGCTAGGCTGGAAGGACAGAAGGGTGACTTGGAGCTTCAGGTGAGCATAACTTTGTTGTTTTTGAACCTAGACAAAAGCGAGCAGTTAACCCTTGTATTGCAGGGTAGCCCCAGTGCAAGGGTTAAGAAAACGTTTTCCTGGAGTTCTTCTTAAACAGAAGTCTGCAATGAGAGAAATGTAGAGGTTGCCATTGCCATCCTTCAGGAAATGTCAACATACTTTTTTTTACTGATCTTCAAGTGACTCTTTCTGGTGCCTCTTCTGTAATAAAGTCTTCAGTCAGGATCTTGCAAGTATTCTGCTGTTGGATAGCCAATAGGAAGAATCCACATCATCAATGGGGAGGTGGTGGCTTAAGGAAAGACCTTCCCACCTTCCGCCTGAAACATAGCACAATGCATCAAAAAGCAACGTTTCGGGGTCTCACAGGATCCCCTTCATCAGGCAAAATGAGTTCATGCGTCAATAAACAGACGCTATTGATTCATTACCTGGAGTGCCGGTGTCTATGTTATCCACTGAATTAAAAACTGTCTTTGCATGCAGAACTTTGGGCCTCAACGCCGGCTAGTCTAATAACCACTGCTGCCAGTAGCACTGAGACCAGGGTATATTTTGGACTTAGACTTTGTCTTCCCGGCTAGCTACTGTCAAGCAGTATTACCTCTAGTCAGTTTAGCTGCAGCTGAGGGAGAGTTGGAATACTTGAATGTGTGACATTGCATGCATACCCATTCCTGACTTGGTTTATTATGTCTTGTTATCTGTAATAATAGGATACAGTCTTCTCAGTAAAACCTTCATCAAAGAAATCCATAAGGTGTGTTGGTGTGCTGTGGGTCCAGTCTGGGCGGTCTATCTAGGTGTGGGACAGAAGAACCCGAAATACTCTGCGGCTCCTTCGGGGGTGAGCACTACACACATTGGAACACACTGGGCATTCAAGGCCCCCTTGGTGCTCATACAGCTCAGTTAAGCCATGTTCAAGCACCTAAGGAAACCTTGTGAGAACTCCAGGGGGAACGAATCCCAGTGTACCTTTCTGGTCTAAAAGCAGTAAGGTCCCTAACAACCAACCAAAGTTCTCACAGGTCCTTTAGGATCCATTCACACCTTGATGCCCTGGTGCGTTGCATTAACTCACGTTAATGCGCCTTTTTGCAGGTATTAATGTGTGTTGCATTATGTCAGCCTGCCAACGTACCAAATTGTCCAAACAATCAGAGGTGCACCATTTTTGTCAACGCAGCACCCTACAATGCATGGGAGTGTGTTACCATGTGTTCTGGTGTACTGTAGTGCATATGTGACCATGTAATGCATCAGGGTGCTATTGAACATAAATTGCCTCATTGTGAATTGCAGTAACATGCGTATTACCGTAATGCAGCAGTATGAATGGGCCCTAAAGGCACTGATACTGAAACAGGTGTGATAACAAAATTTATATAGGTGCCTATGCATCTTCATTATATCAGTACATTTAAAACTGCATGGAGAACCGTTTTAAAGCGTCAGCCCATCAAAAGTGATATTTACAGATGTAGGCCAAGTGGGTTGAGTCAGCTCCTCGTTTGATATGTCTTCGATACTCCAACAGCAAGATCTCCCTGACTCTGTTCTTGTCCACCTAGGAGTCTTGTCTGTTCCCATTCACCTTTGTGTGTTCTAGCTCCTCTTGTTACATTGCCCATAATCTAGTATAAATTAAATATAAAGCAAGGAGAGTGAGAACCCCTCATAATGGCGGGTGTGCAACTCTTGTACAGTGGGAATCTCTGGGAACTCTTGTACAGTGAAATATCAGTTGGGTGGACTGACCATTTAACATTGACTAGATAATTCAGTATTACAGTGAACCTGTAGTCATGGTCAGGGCTGGCATTCAAGTATTTTCATGTTCTTAACAAGCAGTAAATAGTTCTTAAGAAACCCATCATTGATCTCTGTGGCTTCATAGCACTCTGGAGCAAATCATCCTCAAAATTCACAGTATAAGCACTGAAGTCCTTCAAATGGGCTCTCTCAGCAGTTTAGCTCCCTCCAATACCTCTCCCAGAGCTCCTGTTCTGCATTTGTATAAGAGAATAGGAGGCTGGAAAGCTTTTGAGTCACTGATGGGAGTTGGTAGCTGAGTTACTAAGATAATTACTTGAACAGTTTCAGGGTTTCTGCTGTGATCATTGAGGATGAATTACTCCACTGTGCCTGCAACTGTGGAGGTCAGTGAGGGCTTGTTTTAAAGCTCATTTGCTGCTTGTTAAAGCAGAGCCTTAGTTTTCAGGGTGGATGGGCGCTCACCAGAATGTGCAAGTATGCATAGCCTACTTGTGCATTTTGCACCCTTACTCACTTGCAGTGGCGTCACAAGGGGGGTGCAGCCCGCACCCGGGTGCCACCATTGGAGGGGTGACACCAAAATGACTGACAGTCATTTTGGTGTCACCCCCTATGAAATGTCGGGCACTCGGTTATGGACCGAGAGCCCGACAATGTCAGGAGAGAGGAGGGGACCCGGCGCCTCCTCTCTCTGCCGGCGTCCATCACCAAGATAGCCGCTGGCAGGCGTCACAAAGATGACATCTTTGCACACGCGCGTGGCGACGTCACACGCATGCGCGATGATGTTACGGCGGGGTGTCACCTGGTCTCCACTCCAGGTGACACCCGGCCTCGGGACTCCCCTGCTCACTTCTATGCCTTCCCCTAGTCCTCTTCCTGATGCCAATGATGATGTAACTCCTGGAGTTACATTGTCCTGGTAGCTGGCTGGATTCTCAGCATCTTACAGATGCCGGGAATGAGTTGGGAATGTCCACTTCACTGTCTGCATATCTCTTCTGCCAAAAGACTCTACTTCCTAGCAATTTATTTATTTTAAGAGTTTAGGTCTGAGGGTTGAAAGCCTGGAAACAGGTTCACTTTAAGGTCCACCCAACTCTAATCACTCCTCAGACAGAGTAGTATAAGATTTACATTTTCGGTTATATACTACACAAGAATTTTTCGCAAAATGTTGTGCGTGGAAGGCTTCACTTGGTCGGAACAAGTAATTAAATACTCCACAACATTTTTATTTGTATTTTTATTGTGAATGTCAAAATATATTGTGTCTACAAACTAAAAGGAATGAAACTGCCAGAGAGGTGCTAAAATATAATTATGTAGTTGGAAGACCCTCCTCGACCATTATTTACAGAACAGGCCAGTAAGTCCGTACTTGGGGAACTATGGAGGTTGGAAAGATTGTAACAAGGAACGTACATAATTTACAGAAAATATTGTTTACATAAATAAAATCTCAGTTATCCGGGGCAATCAAATGCTTGTGGAATAGAAGCTCATCCATGATACAAACTGTGCCATCCATCCAGGGTCTCAGCTTTGTGCATTGTCCTTCATCATTTGGTACAGGTAATCCAGCATCTAGAAAAACACAAACATGTTGAGTTCTGAGGCAAAGGCAAGCTTCTGGTATGACTCAAAGTTATCAACTATCACACTCACAAGATACAGAAGACCACATCACAAGACAAACTAAACTACTACAAGACAATTATGACAAATGACACATCTGCTAATAATGTGTCATTTCAACGTTTTTTAAGAACTTCTAGCTCCATTTTCAAAATGCCACCATACGTTTGCATGGAACAAATAATAAAATAAATGTTTCTGAAAGTTTTTTTTCTCTGCCTTCTATTTTCTATGACCTCTGTGTCCAGAGCTGACCATTGTGTAGGACAACCATTGGCTCCATTTATATTGACATTTCTATGATTCTTATTCTGTACAACATAATAACTGGGGGATGTGGGGGTTGTTGGGTGTCAGAGAAAAAGCTCAACAGCATCAAAAATGCATATGATTGATTTGTGTGTAGGGTGGTTTAACTTCTTTGCTGGGTTTTTGCTGCTGGTCCCCAATAAGGAAGATGCTTCACTTTCTGTTAAGGTGATGGGTGTCAGACAGAACAGGAAGTGAGGGAAAACCAATGGAGGCAGAGTTAAAACCTGACCTAGGTTCTCACCCTTCACTATTAAAAATGATGCCTTGAATTGGACTACAAGAAGAGACAGTTATACACCCTGTACTTGTGCAAGAAAGAACGGCCATACCGGATCATGGTACTGCAGCTGATCCCAGTTCCTGAGAGTGGTCAGAGAAAACATACATCTCCAACCACTCTCGTTGTTTAAGGTTAAATTGTATGTAAACCCTAACAACAAAATCTTCTTATTTTCTCCATTTTGGCCTGTTGACTATACCATTGAAAATGTTTTGTTACTATAAAAAAAACTTGCCCTGTGTCCTCAGCACACTTCCTGTACTATCTGTAAAAATATATTTAGCCCTCCAAGTTCTTTTCTTGGAAACTACAACTCAATGCTTTAGAGATGAAGACTCTGGGATGGATTGAGTAGTTTAGTAAAAGAAAACTGAGCAGGGGTGACAACATTCAGTTTACAAAAATGCTGATATAAAACGATAAGCTAAGCGCATTTCTGGAAGATCAACAGTTGTTTGGCTGTGCTTGCAGGGTTTTTAAAGGGAAAAAAACAAAGGTAAATGTATTTCAGAAATGTATTACTTTTTTTTATTATTTTGTCTTGACGTGCGCTTCAAAGTTTATCTATGTGAAGGCAACCCATGTGTTTGGTGGCCATTATCACTGAGATGGAAAATAGAGGTGGGAAATACAACATTTTTGAGCTGTCAGCAGAGCAAGAGGTGAAAGAAAATCATCAAAGGGATAAAAATGTTTTGGTGACAATGTCTCTAGATGGGAATCCCCCTCATTTTATAGAGATATAATCTCATTTCCTGTTGCATCTCTAGGACAGGAAGTAAAGGTAAGTCTCACTAGTGAGAGCAAAATATAAGCCGATAGAAGTTTTCTCTCTTCTCTAATCTATCCAAAATAAAAAAGACAATTTTTGGCTATACATACACAATTATTTACATTCACAGAAGGGTGAAGAGTTTGGAGAAGGCAGGAGAAGTGAACAATCTAGGACGTCATAGCTGATTTGTAAAAATTCTCCAATTCAGCTCACTTTCCAGTTCAGCTATGTTGTCCTAGATTGTTCACTTCTCCTGCCTCCTTAAACTCTTCACCCTTTAGTGAAAAACCCTGTAAGTCTGGGTCTGACAAGGCAAAAGACTCCACTTGGAGAACCGTGAAGATATAGTGGGTGCTGCAGTATTCTGTTTCCTGGTTTACCAGCAACTACTGCCAGAATTATTTTATTAAAGGGGCAAAAATGCCCCAAGCCCATCCAGGCAGGGAGTCCACCAAGGAATTTACAAGTAATCAAATGAATTATATGGTTGCAATGTAGCATAAATCTCCCTGGTGCTCCAGAAACCCCAAAAACCCTGCTTTAAAAATGGAATTCCAACCAGGATAATTATAGCCAAAAAGGTACAAACAAGGTGACATTATCTGGTCCATATTATTTTCATCAAATTAGATAATGGCTTTACAGGTTTAAAGGAAGCCCCTGGTTTCTTTACAAATGTATGGAACACATTGCTGTGCAAGCCATTTTTGTAATTAAATGTTATTAAAACAAACATTTTACTTTCAGTATGCAATCAGGAATTAATTTATACTGGTAAAAAGTCAGATTTGTTTTGCTTAACCCTTTAAGGACCAATGACGGAATTATTCCGTCGTCATTATCCACGCCACAAGGACCCATGTCAGCAGAAGTACCTGGTATCGGTATTCGGTATCGACAAGTACCGAAATCAAAGTATCCTAATACAGTGTATAAAACGTGAGGATGCCGAGGGAATTAACATTGTTGGAGTGAAGGATGAGACAGGCTGCAGGGAGCGGTGCAGGAGCCAGCCGGGAATGGGGTTTGAGTTAGTATAACTGTGTTATGTTAGAATCCTAGGCAAAATGAACACTTAACCCTTCCAGTACAGGGGATGTCCCACTGCAAGGGTTAGGATTTTATTTCACTTTAATATACTTAAAGTAAGCTTGTCATCACAGAAATATGGTGGCTTGCACTGCTGCACTATTTATGAAAAAAATACTTGTCTGGCAGCTATGTTGTCGCATTGGCCTCTATACTTTAAAGCTGACCATGCACTCAAAGGCAAGGTTCATATATTACATTAAGCCCCCCACCCCCCACCCTTATTCCAAAACCTTGCATGCTATGCAATGTTTTGTCATGAGGGCATGGGATGCTGATGCTTTTATGCAGATCATAAAAATCAGAGTTAGAAGTCCTATCTGCATACATACAGTATCCTTCATTATACTCATACTCATGGTTTCCATTTAAGTCTATTTCCACCTTTACAGAGGTATTTTTAAACAAACATATGCCAGCAATGTACACCAAGTTCACATGAAGCAGGCATATGCCGCTGATGTATATGAACACAGAAACTTACGTTTTTTTGTTAGCTTTCCTCTTCATATCCTCATGGAAATGGCTGCCTCTGTGTTTTGCAAGCAATCTGTGTCTACTACAACTGAGCTCTTTCCAAGTTCTCCACACCCCATTCATTAGTAACACCCCTCCCCTCCCGGACAGTGTATTGTGTGCAAAGGCAGAGCTGGTGTTTAGTGATTGTGTTACACAGAATCACAGGGAGGGGGGGCAAATGTTTACACCCTGCTTTACAATCTGACCCCGGTGTCAGACTGAATTTTCTGTGGAGAAAATTTTGAATTTGTAGGATTCTGGCCTAATGAAAAGTTTATAAAAATGAACAAAGCCAGCAATGTGAGACATGAAAATGCACACGCATATACATCATCACTGTACCTCTACATTACCACAATAAATGCTAATCACTTACAAAGGTATAAATGGACTTTAAAGTCAAATTACAGGTATTATAGTTACAGCTTTTTATTAACACAGAGAAAAGGGCTAGAACCTCAGCCATGTTGTGTTCTTGGCGTCCCCATTGGGGGAGAATCAGGTTCACCTTGCTGACTGTATAGATTTGAACACACAATGCATTTCTATCAAAATCTTGGACATTGAAGCTATGATTGGACCATCAAAGAGACAAGAGACCATCAATGAGACAAAATATTCTTCTTATCAAAATTTTCACACAGCACACCAAGCACCCACCATGGTGCTATACCCATTACGTATGAGGGTTATTCAGAAAGAGCTGAAGGATCTACTCGTAGCTTTGGCTGATCCCTCGGCTCACTTTGGCCACCAGAGCCCTTCGGTGAAGTACAACCAAAGGGCTGCTCCACAAGCTATTCACAATAGCCCCTACAGCACCCAAAGGCAGCTGATGTACGGCTGATTTTAGTCAATGTATGACTGGTATCAGCCGTACAGAGGCGAAGTAAATAGCCAAATGCCCTTCGGCTCACTTCACTTCGGCTCGGCTATTCACTTGGCTGCCCTCAACAGCTTAGTGAATAACCCTCCTATAGTCTTTTTACAGACTCTTTAATGGGTTTACCCTGTCTGTGTATTTCTTGTATTTGTTTTCTACTGTCTCATTGTTTTTTTCACCCACACTAAGTATGTTCCTTTTTCTTTTTGCTGTTTTCCTGTTTTCCTGCACCATGTCAGCAATTTATGTTTCAAGGGGTCTTTCACACTACATATGAATTTGGGTCCCTAAGCCTAATCAAAGCTCTTACCAGATAAATTAGGAGCTTACACAGAGCATCACTTCACTTTGCTCTGGTGGGCACATGGTGGTGGGGGAAAGCCTGGAAGGTGAGTATAAGTACCAGGGGAATGGGCAATGAAACAAACCCTCAGTTTACTTTAAGTCAAATATACATGAAAACATTTACCTCTTTGTAGTTAACGTTGTCCTCAGAATCATAGCTCTTCCTGTTGTAAAGGTTAAAATCTCTCATTGGCTGGGAATTTCTGTTGTCACTTGACTCTATCATTCTCAGTAAGGTAATAAGAGCTTCTTTCCACTGAGCTCCATTCATTGGCTTGTCCCCTTCCATGTACCCCGTTGCCGAAGCCCTCTCAACGCCGTCATACAGATAAGGATATTCTTCTATACTTTTTTTGCCCATTAAGTGCCCTGGAAGAGAAACGGAAAAACATATAAGAAAAATCTCCCTGGTTTGGTGATACATTATAACACCATCAATTTATATCATTTAGCTGAAAAATATAAAGTATTTTATTCACCTGTAATTCTTTCATACTCCAAGCTGGTATTTCAGCTTAGTGTGGTTGATAGAAACATAAAATGTAATGCTTTTAATTAGGGATGCACCAATACCAGGTACAGTACTCGGTACAAGTACAAGTACAGATACTTTTCCAGCTCCAAGACTAGACTAGAGAAAAATTCAAAAGTTAGGAGGCAGCTGTCATTTGTAAGGAGCACATGGAGCTCCTGGGATTTGTACATCTCTGTTTAATGTATGATTTTGTTTTTATAAATAAAAATAAAGGGATGCACCCATACTAGTTTTGTGAGTACAAGTACTGATACTTGTCCAAGTACTTCCAAGTACGAGTACTGATATATTTTTGTTTATTGTCATGCGACAATAGTGGACATTAAGCTGACTAACCACCTGCATGCCAGGCACTAGACTTCCCGGTTTGTGATACCATACAGCAGGTGGACGTTAAGCTGACTAGCCACCTGCATGTCAGGCACTAGACTTCCCGGTTCGTGATACCATACCATACATACATACATACCATTTTTGGATTGACCTACTGAAATACTATAAAGGAGTATCCAAGGCTAAACAGTTACATTGAATCTCATTTTTGAGCTACATATTGTTTTCCATTTTTTCAGCGCTGTTTTCTCAATGAACTTGAGCTTAACCGGTATCATTTACAAATGCTGATCAGCCCGTCCTAGAGTGCATGTTTTTTGGTATGTAAGTGTGGGGTGTTGCAACAACTTTTTTTAGTGAGCAATAAGTAGTGGCTAAATGGTGTGTACATAATGACCAAGATTTTTAATCAATAAATTTATACTATTTTGTACAACATTGTGACTCTCCGACCCTCATTAATACTGTACTTCGATTTGATCCCCATTCGATCATTTCACAATCTTTTTTCTGTTCTGCCAAACAGTTGAGGGCCGTTTTGAGAGTCATTTGTCAACAAATCTACCCTATTCTAGGGTTTAATTAAAATTGGGTTTGGTGCTCTGGGTATAAACACCCTCTCTTTTTTTTTAAAGTATCGGTGCATCCCTACTTTTAATGTGTTTCTGTGATTTTTGCCACCAGAATCCAAAGTTCCACCCAACTGCTGCACTATATCCAAATGATGGCATCTCAGATAGATTCCCAATAATGTAGAATGAAGAAATAATTGGGGTACCTTGCCATAGGAGTCTCCAAGAGATGTATCCATTCATCAGGTCACTCTCCCAAGTGTTGAATGTCACTTTTTTGGTGGAATTGGCATTTAAAAAACATAGGACTACACTACACTCATTGCACTCAGGTTTCTGTACAGTTCAGAAGGCTTTGCTTAGGGAAATAGCCCTGGCATGCTAGGTCAACTATCTTTGTGCTTGGACATCTTTGATGCATATATTCTGTTTGATTGTTAGAATTATTTTTTTATCATTCCTAATATTCTCTATTTTTAATGAGCTCATGTTATATTTAACAAATTACAAAAAAAAATGAACAGAAACAAGACAAAAGAAGAGAAGAGGGTTGTACCCAACACTTTACAAAGTGGAGAAACATAAATAAAAGAGAATTCAGTATCTGGGACTCGTAGGGGTTTGTTACTTAGGGACTTGAGATGGAAGATTGGCAAGTGATATTTCAGAGGTGGATTTTAAGGTACTGTTTAAACTAAGGATGTTCAGATACCAGTTCAGATACCAGTGCTGATACTTGGCATTTTCATGAGAACTACCAGGGTTGTAGCGGTTGTAGCGGTTGCAGCTGGGACCTGGCTCTGGTGCTCCACCACTGTCCTAAATTATCAGTCTGTATTGTTTTAGAAAAACTGTCATATGACAAAAAACAAAAATGTATTGTATCTGTGAGGACTTGGACAAGTATCAGTACTTGTACTTGAAAAAATTGTATCGGTGCATCCCTAGTTTAAACCCTTTCAAACTGGAGGAAAGTTACATAGTTACATAGTATTTGAGGTTGAATAAAGACATTAGTCCATCAAGTCCAACCTATTAGGATCTCATTCTAGGAGTACCCGTACCCCTGTATATTACGCGTACCCCTGTATATTACGGTCCCTTAAGAAATCGTCCAAAAGTTTCTTGAACAATTCCACATTATTTGCTGAAATCACCGCCTGTGGCAGTGAGTTCCAGACCCTAACTGATCTTACTGTGAAGAACCCCCTTTGCCCCTTGTGCTGGAATTTTTTTTCCACCAATTTTAGGTGATGGCCTCTAGTTTTTGTAACGGAGTTAATTTTAAACAGTTTATCGCTAATGTTGCTACCACCATTGAACATTTTGTACATGGAAATCATATCCCCCCTTAATCTCCTCACCTCTAATGTGAACATGTTTAAATTTAGTAGCCTTGTCTCGTAGCTCTGGTCCTCCATACCCCTAATTAGTTTGGTTGCCCTTCGCTGGACTTTTTCCAACTCAAGGACATCTTTTCTTAGTACTGGTGACCAGAACTGGACCGCGTACTCCAGATGAGGTCGAACCAATGATCTATAAAGTGGCAAAATTATAGACTTGTCCCTGCAATACATCCCCTTTTTAATACAGGACAAGACCCTGCTAGCTTTGTTTACAGCAGCCTGGCACTGCAAACTACCTTTCAGTTTGTGGTCTACAATGACCCCCAAATCCTTCTCCATTTCTGACTTCCCCAGCGGCATACCCATAATTGTATAACCCATTTGTTTATTTTTAATTCCAAAGTGCATTACTTTGCATTTATCGACATTAAACCTCATCTGCCACATTAATGCCCACTCCCCTATTTTATCCAGGTCCTCCTGTAATGTTATAGTGTCTAAGTCCGTGTCTATTACCCTCCCTATTTTGGTGTCATCCGCAAAATGACACCAAAGCAGAAGGAAGTAAAAGTGGAAGGTCTGCTAGAGGGAAATTAGTAATCTTGCATGGACTGAGGTACACTGAAATACAGTGTTGCACGTTGTGAGTCGAAAGACAAAGCAATTAATCTTAAATTGCCTAGAAATTAGAGAAGAGACTAACAGAAAGGGGCAGCAGATGTGGGTGGTGGTAAGAATAGATAAGTCACGTTCATGTTCATATTGGCATATAACACAAATTAAGCAGCTTTAGGGCAACTGGTGTAAACAAACTGGGACAAAAGTAAAGCTATTCCTTTAAAGTATACATTTTCTGCCTCCATGATGCCAATTGACTCTGTTACCCATTCAACATAATTGCAGCAGATCTGCATTTATACATTGATTTATGGTCAATTCATGATAAGTGAGACAAACATAAATCCTATATTTAATCATTCCAACACATCTCACCTCATCATGAGTATTGCTTAAAGTATAAAGGCTAGGTATTAAAAAGATCACTTTATATTTTTTTCCATTTCCTCTGACATTACACTATAAAAATGGCTCTAAAAACTGAAAAAGATGCCACTTAACGTCTGTTATAAACACACCATATTAAAATAACTGAAGTGGGCATAATGTTTTTGCAGGCATCTGACTTTTTGTTAGTATATGGCATGGAGCCTATTTCAGCATTTAATGGCTGAAAGATTTGTGCAGAGAAAATATAAACATCACATGTATTAACTTAACGTTATTTTATTAGTCACTACTTTTATTAGTTATATATTAGTTATTACTACATTCTCTATATGTTTTATATAATATAACTTATTAGCCCCTTTAATATGGGACATTAGGTACTGTGTTTATTCCACAGTGCTCGGTAGCTATTTCAATATATGTGTTTTAATACACATCCATGACCAATAAAGTATGCTTTCCATTTACAAGAAATAATAAACTGTCTTGTTATATTTGATCAATGCATGTGTTAGAATAGGCGCATATTTTTTAACTGTTTTCACAGTTGTATTTTTATTTTTAAATGTATCACTACGAATTCACACGATTTACTTTCATAACTGATGTGATGTAATTAATTAATTACTAAAAATGAATGATGTACATTCCAAAGGCGATGCTGACAACTGGAAGGTGTATACCGACATTTTGTATACTTTTTTTTTAACCTTTTCCTCTTGTCTTGCCGTTTAATATCGTTTTTGTTGGGTTGCATTATCTTGCTAAGCTTGCGATCGTTTTAGAAGCCCCTCTGTATCAGGGGGTACAAGGAAAGGATTTTGTGACGTTGCTATATTCTAATATTTACTTGCAATATGTGTTCTGAGTTGAAATTACTTTATATCGGAAGTGTTACTCCTACAAAGGAACTCTATACAAGTAGCTTTAAAACGTCTTATTCTGCTCTTATTAGTGCACAATTAATAAGTATCCAGTTGAATTCGGAGCGCAATTATCCAATACAAGGACTAAAAGGCAACAATTAATGTGTAACTGAAAAATCTCTAATAGAAGAGCATTCTGTTACAAAGCTTCACGAACTTTTATCTACATTAAAGTCAGCTTCTATTGGAAACTGAAGGTAATACATGTATGCCTATATCAGGAATGCAATATCGATCTCTGGCAGTTGTTAAAAAAAATCTGTATTGCTACATAATGCATTTGCTTCAGAAGAACCTACAAAGTTACCGCGCTGTTATATTCAATCTATTCCTGTAATTATTAGGAAAGCCAGCGATAATATAGTATATATTGTACTGTTGCGCAGCACTGCACAGCCCCAGGATGGGGCTAGAAAAGTCAATCTTCCACAGTCTGTAATGCTGAGCATAATATATTATTTATCACCCTTTTGAGTAGATTCCTCACCCCCTGTGCTATTGTATTTGAATCATTCTGCCAGATTCAATATGATTTTATTTGAAGGCTTCATTCGAAATTATACTGATTTGAAAAACTGTGCTGGAGCAATGCGGTGCAATGATCACTGAGGTTTGTATGTAAAATATTATACTTGTTAATTGCTCTCAGGTCATGGGTTAGTTAAGTATAAAATCTGGATGTACTGTTACATTGTGCCATTGTGAAGTAAGTACTTACCAAGTGATACACAATTGATAATTCTTACAGT